TTTGACGGCGTTCACGGTTTCTCTTCCATAATAGTACACGCAATCACGCGGTAAACTGAAAATCCGACTTAATAAAAGAGTAATTATTCCCAGAATTTGTCAACAGCACATTAAGTTTATTCAAGCTTTTATATTCAACGTTAATATTTCATTTAGTGTTAAGTAACCTTTGTAACGTTTCAGTGAAATTTTCTGATAAAGTAGAATTAAGTAACGTTAAATATTTAAAATTATTTTTGACATTATTACTGTTACAAATAAATTTCAAGTAACTTATTCTACTATTCATGACATTATTAAAGCACTTACCAGGATGTTTATTTTAAGAAATTTCCATTCGCACAGATGACAGAAGTATCGCCAACAACTAGACTTCAAAATATCGAGCTAACCACTGACAGAGTAAATAACTGTCAACATTTTTTTGATGTCTAAATAGTCAACTCTGATAACTGCTATAAAACTTAACTTTGTCGGAAATCTACTGAAACTGGTAAACATCAAAACCTTAAGTCGCATAATTATTTACATAACAAATAAACAAAAGTTGTGTTGCGAATGCCTCTAGAAAGGAAGGCTAAGCAACTGTTTCCGGCGAAACCGACCGGCAGAAGGCCCAGGGGACGACCAACATTAACATGATGCAAATATATGGAAGGAGCCTGCTCCAGACTCCAGGCGTCTTCTGCCGAAACTCAGACATTGGCACAGGCTCTGGAACGTTGGAAGCTCTGTCTGATGCGCCTGCCTCAGCGACCGGAATGGCCATGGAAGATGAAGAAGTATAGTCTAATTATGCAGAACTCGTAAAATTTGCAGTAACGAATTTCTTCGAATAAAAATATTCAAGTAGCTTTATGCGATAAAAATTGTTATCCTGTTAAGTTTATTAATACTATCCTAAACTATCATAAGTTACTTTAAATCAAGGTTTAACGCCAATAATATCAGAGTAACAATTCAAATAAGCAAAACCAAATTCAACCGTATCATAAAATTAGAAAATAAAAGGTTCATCCGGTGACAAGTTACAAACATAATTTAACGCTAAATATAATATCAACGTAAAAATTTTAATAAACTTAATGCGTTATTACCCAATTCGAGAACAAAAGGGAGCATTGACCAAAATCTCATCGTTTGGCTCCACACGCTACAACAGCTGTGCAAGACGAAAAGAACATGAAAAATCAACCTGCCCACCTTAATGAAAGCGTGTGAAACACGAGTCAAAACGTTGGTACTGCTTAACCACCCAATTGACTAATCTGCTGACGCTATGTATGAAAAAACTGTTTAATAAATATTTTCAACGGTATTAATTTGCAATTTTTCAAAATACCACGCTTACTTCGTTTCCTCGGGATAGCCTCTGTCTCTGATTTTTTGGCTGCAATCGGTTTGACTAAAACACGATTTTTAAAAGTCAAGGCAAAAAAATTTTAACTAAAAATATCTTACCTGGAGTTTTAAATTCCTCCTCATCGCCGGCACTAAAGGAAGTGGTAAGTCGCTTTTTCGCCTTGCGATCCGAACGATTAACCTTTTTAGTCGCGGAACCAGGTAAACTTTTCATCTTTTTTAACCTGGAAAAGAAGGAATACTTTAAACTCAATAAAAGCTCATGAAAATTCGAACTCTTCTTACGCACTCTCACTGGAAACTTGTTTTCTACAAGGATAAAAAACAAGTAATGCTAAAAAAAGAACAGATTCTTCTTTCTACACCGGTTTTACCAGTCTTTTATTAGCAGAGCCGTCTCCTGTGCGTCAATCCAAAGAAGACTGTGGAATATCGGCGAAAGCTGACGGAATGGTTACTGTAAACTAACGGCGCAGCAACACAAATTTTTCAAACCTCACCCTACTTATTCTAACTGAAATGTGAAAACACCGCAAGAACAATAGAAACATACACGCCGGATGCTAATAATTGCTCAGATTCAGGCTACAACCTCGACTGAACATGCTTAAGTGCGTATACTCAGTTTGACGCGTAGGTGGCAGCTCATATAACAAATCTGTCAAGGAATATCACTTAGTGAATATGTTTGTTTTATGCTACGTTCTGCTTGGCAGTAAAGTATATTCGCTTGTATTACTGGTTTGCTAACAGCACTACATGGTATTTACATTACACAAAACTAAGCAAAAAACTAACACAAAACTAAGCAAAGAAGCAATTAAAAGGTGAATTTGCATTTCTGATATGGTTCCTAACCGAAACGACATCAAACTACTCTCTCTGGATCACCTGGACGTTCCGATTATCCTTGCAAGGGTAAAATCACTAGTTAATGCAGCTCTTTTCGGTTTGGGATGGCATAAATCCGTTAAAATTTTTGCTACGTATATAAAGGTTCTTAATGTCTGTATCAAATTATGAACAGAGAATTAGAGTTTTACCGAATTTGCAGAAGAAAATGTAAAAGTTTGCAAAAAGAGAAGAAAGGAAAAAGTTTGAACATCAGAGAAAACAGCAATATAAACATAATTTAAGACTTATCGCTGATCCGGCTCCAGTAAGTAGCCTCTATCTCAGAAATGATACAAACACTTTAAGTGAACGGCCGTACAGATGAAACACACTGACTTTTTCTGCTATGAACATTCACCACGAAACGGGCGAATAATTTTTTACAGACTAAATACAGGGCACAAGTAATAGGAAAATGCAAAAAAACATCCGCAAGAAGATGACACAAATTTCGATGAAGGCCTTTAAAACAAACGGGGTAGGGCAACGTATTACATTTAGCGGGAAACAGCAACCTTCGTCACAAGAAAAAAATTACGATAAGCAGTAAATAAAATATTGATATATTAATAATGATCAATGACTAATTATATTACAAAACATATTTATCATCGTTACAGCGGCAATGCGCTATATGAATGACAATCTGGAAACAGTGCAAAATTTATACAGAAATTCAGGTGGCAAATAAAACGAAAAATGCAAGGAAAACTACACATTTCACAATTGAGCATAAAACGATTCCCACGTGTGCTCTCGCGTGACGAGATTCGATCTATGGGGCTTGGAAGAAGATAGGCAGCGGAAGTAAAGCCTTATCCTTTCATACGTTCGCCGAATTTGAGTTGTGTTCCCCCCACAATGAGACAACAATAGCTGACCGTGAATAATGAACAGAAAAAACATTGGCTAAGTTTTTTAATTTTTTGATTATAATTGTTCTTATATCGGATCGATGAAAGGTAAACCACGTCAAATATTTGTTCTAGCGAGCATTTAAAATAATTTTAGTAAGTAAAATGTCAGAATTGTCATGCACAAGATGAAACGATAGAAAATTTTAATAATTTTAGCATTCAGTCTTTAATTTGAGTATAATTTGTCCCCGTATGTATGCATAAGAAGATGGCATCTATTGCTAATCACAACTACGTGGCAAAAATTAGTAAACCGCAGACTGATTAAAAAAGGGACGCAATAACTAGTGTTTCTTGATGGTAAGGATTTATACAAAAACATATTGTCGTGTCGCTGCGTACCGCAATTTATGCAAAACTGCCCAATTAAGGGCAATAAGTAGCAACGAATAACGATAACGATTAAGCTCGCAAAAGAAAAGCGAAAAACTACTATGAAACGTCCGAAGATAGTGATTTCTTCATGCGTTGGTGATTATATTGAAAAACTGCGTAAACATGGTTTACTTATATACAACGCAAATAACACTGTGATCAGTCCGGTCATATGACCCTGAAACTATCGACTGGTGCAGACAAATAAGCGCCTTCACGAAACTTCACCAACGACGACCTACCTTGAAAAAGGCCAATGAGACATGGAGGTAACGACGGGCCGAATAGTCGGTATTGGTCAGTCAGAAGAATGACTGCAGTATCTTTTGTGTTATGGATAAGTAAACCGTGTTACACAGTATTTTTTACTACAGCATGGTATTTCCGTAAATGTGAAATAAATAGTCGATCGTTCCCTCGCCATTTAACAACGTAGTGCACCGTTCCCTTGCTTCTAGTAACCTAAGGAACCTTTTAAACAGACTACGGATGTATTGAATATTTTTGAATCTGTAGTGCATGAACGCAAAACAGCACCATTCTGCTGGGTCTAACAAAAACATTAAAACACGAACGAATATACCCAATCCGTATACTTTATGACTAAAATAAATCCCATTACTGTGTTAGCGAGCAGACTGCTAGATTTCAATACTGCTAGTAAGAATAACAGTATCCCGTCACTTCTCCGGATACCACTTTGGTGATATTTGGTGATGTTTAGCGCTCATATACTACAGATGTTAAATTATTTAATGGAACTGTGGTCTGATAAGGCGGTCCTCTAAGCTAATCGAAGCAAGGGGAGAGTGCGCTCCACAGAGATAACAGGAAATTATTATTCTTAATGGTGGCATTGAAAACAAGCAATCTGCTAGCAAACCCATCTTCATGCGGTTAATTTTGGTCAACAGTCGATCACCTTAAAAGGATAGTAAAGAGAAAGCAAAAAGACACCGAATCTTTGCTGCTGAATCAAGAACAACCATAAACATAGAAGAAATTTTCGAACAGTATGGTCTGACGATGGGAAAATAATAACAAATCAACAGTAAAAAAATAACTTCTCCACTGAATCTTTGAAAGGGCTACGAGAAAGCACTAGCCTATTCGAAAACCATAAATGAAGTTTCAGAAAGCATTTGTAGAAGAAATTTGCTTAAAAGTGGCAAAATCCGCCGATGTTGCAAGTCGCAAAATCTGGGCATTTACTAATGTTGTTCAACTGGAATAATGGGATTAAATGGAATGTAGTTTAATTCGTAGGTTTTTCTGATACAAGGTTAAAAAACAACAAAATGTCGTGTTAAGAACAATGGCGATAAAATAACTAATTCCATAATGTACGACAGTCCGACTGGATGGTTTGGATGGAAAGGGCTAAGGTCAATGATAAAACGTAAATGAACATGATAAAACACCTGGAAATAAACGTTTCAGCTAAAGAACAAGGTCCTCCTACAGTAGAGAAAAAATTTAGACAGAAATAGTCAGAATAACGAAATATTACTGAAAACAAAGGTCAACTACCTGTAGTAACTGAAAGCAGACACGATTTATCTCAGAAATTAATAAATATGGATGTATCAAAATCAAAAAATGAGATGAAAACAAGGTCGATTTAAGGTATATTTCTTATATCAGAAGCAAACCACTAAATATGAAACAAAATTACGCAGAAAAAGAAAGTTTTTAACCGTTAGAATATCGGTTTTTCTTACAATTTTATGATGGGGACGCTTTTAGAGCCGTTCTTTCCATTTTGAAAATGGTGAGACTGATTTCCACTTCCCTTATATTAGTGCCTTATTGTAAGAGGCAGTCAAACGTAACCATGAGCATGCGTAGCGTGTAGCTACTTGTTTCCATCAACAAAGCCACAGAGTGATAGCCATTAATGAACTATACAGGAAAGAAAAGCAAGTGACTACAAACTGGGCTGGAATCCACGACATCTCTGTTATAAAGAGCGATATGCTACAGAGCAATCAATCCCGGAAACAAGATTACAAAAAAACATTGAATTAAACTATGGTTAAACACAGGTACAAAGGAAATGATAATTTAATAAATTTCAATGGTCATGACAAATTACAAAGTACACGACAAAATATATGAGTGCTTCAGGCAAAACTGCACGGAAAGCCGTGCTGTTGTCATTATTCTGTATTATATCAATTTGTAC